GCTTAAGATAGGTGTGGAGTGGCGTCAGAAGTAAGGCCTTTAAGTCAATTCGGTTCACGTCTTGAATGTCAGACAACTTATTGTTGACACTAATAGTCTTGAGTCCAGTCCTGAGGGCGAAGAGGAATCGGCACTGAATGGACTCGAAAGCCATTTCCATGACTCTGGCGTTCCTGACGATGGGATGCGGATACAGACGGTTCCTGTCCTTCTTGTCTATAAGCCATTCCAAGACTCGATAATTCAAATAATGATATTTCTTCAGAAAGTCACTCCAAGACTGCAAATAAAAGCCATTCGGAGAGTAAACAAAGATTCGCCACAAATCTCTGGAACCGCTCAGTATTCCTATCTTTTTGAGACAATCGATGCGATATTCAATGGCATTGGTGTTCATCAGAAGAAGTTTGGGCTCTATCTGTGAGACCACGTGATTGAAGTCAACACTCATATCGAAATCTATGTCTTCGGCGTTCACTTTATCCAATTGATTGGGTCGGAGGAGTGGTGCCTTAAGAGAGGACTTCCAGCAGTCGATGGTATCTCTCATGACTTGATCGTTGAGTTCACTTTCTTCGACAATATATCTGCCGATTGTGTCGACAATAGTTTGGCTCTGATTTTCAGTCAAGTCATATTCAGATAGCATTGACACCACTCTTTGGATTTTTGAATGTGTGAACCAATGGTCGTTTGAATGAAATTGTCTCCTCATGTCATGACTGATCCCAAGCAAAGAGTTTTTGACTTTTTGTGAAAACAAACGACAAATCGGTTTAAAAGACATTTCAATGAATTGTTTGCAAACAATGATCACATGTTTTGCAGTCATTTATGGAGCGAACCATTGATTAGAGTCTCGTATTTGTGGCAAACGTTTGCCTCTCAGACAGACAGTGAGACTCAGACACCACTGAAGGCTCGCAATACGTATCACTGAAATCCGGATCAAATGTCTTCATCGGCCACTCAGGAGTTTATTGTCAGAGTTCCCCGGTATTGAACACCTCCTCCCAGTTGTCACCAAACACTTGCACTCATGAACGCATTGTCTCTTTGTTTAGGGAAATGGGAAACAAGAAGTTTAATGTAATGCGCTTTGGATCAGCTCTTAATGTGGAGCCAAACAAATGGAAATCGTGTCAAATGTCTCGCGAGAATGATGTCAAAGACGTGAAGACAGACAATGAGCCGGAAGTGAGTGAATTTGGCGCCGGATCTGAATTCGGACGAAAACAGAGGGAAGAAATGAAACGAAAGAAATATATGAA